TTTTTTTTTTTTTTTTTTTTTTGGAAAAGCAGACCCACCAGTGCTAGCAATGCTGTTTAGCGCAGACATTGCTAGCACCTGGGGAAAGGCTCCATCTATTGGTGGGGAGCATCACGGGTCCAGCGTCCCATATACAGACTGAAATTGGTGGGGAGCATCACCTGCTGGAAAACGGGTCCATCTATTGGTGGGGAGCATCACCTGCTGGAAAACGGGTCCAGCGTCCCCTATACAGAATGATGCATAGAAAAAACTGGATGGTGTCTAGAGGATTCCTGCCAGCATTGATTGCTCTGGGAACCAGAGGATTGACTGAGCAGGTGTGAGCATAACCCAAATCCTGGTAGGTGGCCAGGTGAAACCGGTAGGGTCGTACGCCATGCAGAGGTTTTTGCCTTTGCTCATTTGCTCTTCATGATTATTTTTTTTAATACAAGTCGTGTTTGGGGACATCGCTACTGGTCTTCTCCTTCTCTCTCTTTTTATCATTCTCTGGTCCTCTTCCCTCCATATCTCCTCTCGCTCTTTCTGCCTCTCTGAATTGCTCGTGTTGTTTTCGGTTGTGAACCATCACTTTTTGCGTTGGTACCAATAGCATACTTTGACTCACGGAGTAACCGACATAGAGGTTATACTACTGTCATGTGGCTTCGATTTTTTGACTGAACGATGGCGAGCAACAGGAATGCCAACATAGCGGCTGTTCGGAATTGCTATAACTTGAACTGTGTGCAGCCTGGACATATTTCCAGATACTGTCCCTTTCCTGACCGGGGTCTGAATCAACCTTCTGTGTCCATGACTATTGTGCCATCTCAGACTCCTTTGCTGACTGCGCCTGCGGCCAATGGTGCTGCAGCTGTGCAAACTTATCCTAGTCAATACTCCAACGGAGGTGGTTGGCTTGGGAAACGTGTTTCCACACTAGAAGAAAGGGTAGCTAAGCTTAGTATTAGGCACGATGCAGAGGAGGCTAGAGAACGAGCTGAACGAGAAGATGCTGAAAAGAAGAAATGGGAAAAAGAAGAAGAGGAACGGCGCCAGCATGAGAAACAGGAACGAGAGGAGCAGCAATCGAAGATGCACAAGGAGATGGGTGAGAAATTGGATAAGGTTGTCGAAGCAATTAATGGGAAGAAGGCAAGTGAGGGTAATCAAGTAGCAAGGCTGAAAGCTGAAGTCGAGAGGTTGAGTCGACCAAATGCTGGTGCAAGCACTTTGGCTACAGTGAGTAAACCAAGTAGCGACAGTGAAGAATTGGCCCGACTTCGCTGCGAATAGGCAGAGATGAAGGCTGCTGCGAACAAGCCTTTTTCGTCTCTGGAGGAGGTGATTCTTTCCCTGCAGAGGCAGTGTGAGGAAGCGGAGAACAATGCTGAGGTGTGGCGGAATGAGGCCCTGCGCCCAAGGAACAAGCATGGCTGCGTGGCTATTGGGTAGACTTCGTGCACTGAGGCAAGGGTTCGACCCCGTATGGCTCCGCTGCAGCGCCAAGCACAATGAGACAAGTGGATGTACATTTGAAGGGTGTCGTCGAAAGGCACCAGGCTGAGGTTGAACTGCTCAAGGAGATGCAGCTGAAGGAAGTCAACGCCCGCAAAGAATCGGAGAAGGAGATCCAGAGGTTGAAAGATGAGATGGTGAGGCTACAGATGGGAAAGAAAACGAAGACCCGTGGAACTACTTTGAAATCCAAACTGGATGGCATGGCAGGCCCTTCCGTTAGGAAGGGTAAGGAGAAGGTGCTGGATAGTCCAGCTAAGGGTGCGGTCAATAGGGAAGCATTTACCCGTAATGAGAGGAAACACTTGCGAGCGCTCAACAAGGAGGCAGTGCTAGCCATCTGCGAACGAGAAGAGGTTGTATACACTACTCTTGATCTTACCTAGGAGGATATTGCGCAGAAGAGGGCGTCAAGAAATGAAGACGGCGGAGGAAAGGGTGCCTCGGTGGTAGAAATGACGGAGGATGGCGAAGAGAATTCCGAAACCAATGGTGGGTGTGACTCGGCCTCTTCTTAAAGTCAGGCTCGGACGTGGCTTTCCTATGGCAAACTGTGAGAATTGTTGTCAACTTCGATCCCTCTCCGTTGACCTTCTCCGATGTCGGGAGATTAATCTCTTGCTTAGTTTGGCCATATGTGGGTTGATTTTCTAGGGTTGTCTCTCCTGGTGTGATAAGCTGTCTAATTTCCTTGTTCATGCGCGATCTTCTCGAAGGAGGATGTTGACGAGTGGACTGGACGGGTTGTGTATGCTTTGGTGTCACCATGGACAAGGCATGTATATGCAGGGAGTACCCAGCGCGATCTTCATTCGCGTTGGAGGGAACACACTTACCGAGCATGTCAGTTGAATGTGGTTCAAGGGGGGAAGCGTAATGAGAAGCTGTATAGGTGGTTGAAGAGGTGTGGTGCGCATACTTACGCTGTTATTCCAGTATGTAGAGTGTCGTCTGAAGATTTGGCTAATACGGAGAAGTATTTTATGCGTTTCCTTTGTCCTGCTTTGAATACAAGGGACAAGCCTAGGCAGAGTTGAAGATGTCGACCTGGGCTGAGAGAACGGTTGAGGAGGAAGAAAAAAGAAGGTGAGAATAGCGCGCTTGCTGATCTAAGAATTGGTCGGCCAATTGTCTTTTTTCATTCTAGCTCTGGTGTGGACTCTAATAGTCTGTTAAGGATTCTTGAAGATTGTAGGGTACGAGAGGTGTGTCAGATTGTCGTCCATTGTTCAGGTGGAGATTGGATCGTTGACCAATGGAAGGTCATCAAACAGTTGTTTGGTGGGAGTTTGGTGTCTTGTGTCTTCGGGGCTGTAGAACTAAGGTATGCTCGTGCGTGGATCACAGGGGTTGTTAGTACACTTACTTTTAACTCTATTGCACCCTTTCTGAGTAGGACTCTTGCATTGAAGGCTCCTCTTGCTGATCTGCTTAGTAACCCCAGTAGTCGTGGTGTTCTTCACCAATGGGATTTCAATAAACTTATTGTCGCTTACACGGCCGTTCGAACCTTTAGCGAAAAGAGAACTCGTTTTCGTTTGCGCTGTCTTCTGTCTCATCACTGTCTCTCACGGTTTGGATTGCACGTTCGAAAGAGACTAGTCATTCGTATTGTGTATGATGGGAGTATTTGTAAGGCCGAAGTTCGCAGGCTGTGTGTGCAGATTTTGAATCACTTGGGGATTTCTTATGCATGGAGGGATGGAGCGGTATCCCTCCGGCCCGGCAGTGAGGCCGGACCAGTTTCAGGCCGCCGGCCTGACCCTGGTCCGGTACCAGGTTATTCCGCTACTGGACCCAGGCCGGTATATCACTTCGGCCTAGGTCCAGGGCGGCAGGTTCATTCATTCAGTTGTTCGTTCATTCATTGGCCGGACTGGACCTTCACTCAGCTACTGCTTCTCGTGTGTCCATCTCCTCTCTCTCTCTCTCTCTCTCTCTCTCTCTCACCATCGTCACACGAGCCATCTGCACGTGTGTCACATTGGTATCGGAGCGGAGTCTCGACCTCTGCTCCC